GGAACACATTTATAACAATGTAACAGACATTTTGACACTGAATTTCAAAAATGTATTATCACCTGGTCTTTACATCTTGAACATGAAATTTTCTGGTAATCTATTACCTGAATCTATGCGAAGAGGTTTTATGAAATTTCCGTACACAATTGATAAAGGAAATGATACGTAAGTAAATATTAAAATATAAAAAATACATTTGTGATGTAAATGTTTTTTACTACTATCTTCTTTTGTTTTTATCTTATCACCATACATAAAACGTTTTTCAGTAAATATAACATACATATAAAATACGTACATAATGCATAATATAATACTTGAAAGAGTACAGTTTCAATTTTAAATAAAATGGCATAGCTATAGCATTTCGACTTTTATCTTTAACAAAATTTTTACTAAATATAGTAAATATGATAATGAACAATAATTAACAATAAGTCTTTTAAATTTTTATATTACTTGATATAAGTAGTAAATTCATCATTTAAGACGTTTTATTAAATAGTAAGTGGTTGGCTGTAACGCATTTCGAGCCGGATGGCGCCAGACGAATGTTTCCATGTTGGGACGAGCCAGCATTAAAAGCCACCTTCAATATTTCTGTAAAGCATCGTCAGAAGTATGGTGTATTGTCGAATATGCCAATACGAGAGCAATTTTTAGAACAAGATGGCATGATGCAGACACACTTTGACATCACTCCTATAATGTCTACTTATACCGTAGCGATTGTAATGTCCGATTTTGTCCGCGTTCCCAATGCAAACGAAACTATCAATATGTGGTGCAAATCGTCTTTGACGTCGAAAGTAAAATTCGCACACAGTATTGCTGAAAAGGTCGTGGAGTTCTTAATTCAATATACTAATAGTTCCCAGAAGGTACCCAAAATGGATCATGTCTTGATACCGTCTTTTATAATTGACGGCATGGAAAATTGGGGACTTATCATTTACAGGTAATATACATAATTCAATTAAAAAAATTTGTAAAGTTATTAAATCTAGCTAATATTACATTTAGCAATTTCGAAATTTAGTGATTTAAAACATAAACATTCTTACAGAAAATATGTCAAAAAAATATATATTTTCATATTTAAATGAAAATTATTGTTTTACATAATTATTAACATGTTTATCTATTATACATTCTCTTCTTTTTTCCCTCTATATTGATATATATATATAAATAGAAAAAATTTCAAACATCTAACAAGGAAACAATCAACTATCCTTGTTCTTTTTTTTATAAGTGCTGAGCCGCATTTTAAGAGAATGAAATGCCTGGTTTTAAAAAAGCCTTTTCTTTTCTTCAACTTCTTTTCTTTCAAAATGAAAGTGTAATTTAAATTGCGAAAAATATAAAAAATGTTAAATTTATGTATAAAACTTTTTGTTTTAATTTCGTATTACTATAAAATAGTCTCAAAATTTTCAATTCTTATTCAATTTTTTTTTCATTCCTTTTTCTCAGTTTAAACGATATTCACTTTAAAGGTCGACAACCAGGACAAACTGAATTTTTTTTCGATAAATGTTGATTTGGCTTAGCAGCACTATCATGTCTCCTGAAAATAATGGATCCATCTCTGATGATCTTGACATATTAGGTGTTGGAATTAATTCGTAGCGTTTTACAAGTGATGGGAAGTACTTTCATTAATGTATTTTTTAATGCTCATGTGAAATAAATAACATTCTTTCATTAAAAAACGCTACGAATTAATTCCAACACCTAATATATTGTCACGGTTATAATCCTCTCTCTCTTTTAATCCGTGCTTATTATTCATTAAAAAGTTATATATATATCAACAAAATAAGTTTTATAAATAAAGTACAATATTCACTCTATCTTTCTCGCTTACAGAAAGTATATAGTAACTTTCCACGCGAAGCGAGATCCATTCCATTTGTTCACTTGTCTAGGGTCGCACGACTTTCCACACAAAACAAAGTATGCATTACATCCCCTTGTCTAGAAAGTGTGCGCCCCTAAGCAGAGAAATAGGTGGGGATATTGAGTTATTTGTAATTGTTAGGTATAATTTAAAATATACTCCCGGTCGCGCGCGCGAGGTAATATTTTTCGCAATAAGAATTAATTATTACCGATTTACAGATTTTAATGTGTCATTATTAAGATCGTTTCGAAGATGTGAATAAGAATCAAAAATTTATTAAATTTCTAGTCAATTTAACTCCTGATATTACTGTGGTAGTTTTGTAGAGATGGCGTTTCAAGACCGAAAAGTCATTTCTGCGCGTGTTCTAAAAACTCCATACGTAATATATAAATTCACACAAGAATCATACAGACATTTCAGATTCAGCAAAACTGTTTAAGGGTTTGATTTCTATAGTTTGTGTTAAAATATGCAGTTATAAATACATATTTATATTGTCAACTTTATTTGTAAATAGCTTTTGGATGAATAACGAGCGCGGGCTAAAACATTCCGAAGATCACTCACAATGTGAAGGCCACAATGTGTGTCAAGATCAAGATCATTGGAGGGTCCGTTTCAATATTTATCCGATAATATCTTCTTTAAAAGAAAAATAAATTTATTTAAGGGAGGATTTTATCGCCTTAAGTTACTTATGAAAGAATAATCTTTCTTCTTTCGGTTTATATTTTAATATATCCAAAGCTTACTAAAATCTGAGGGAAATAGTTAGTTGTGACGATTGTTTCCTTGTGAGTTATTCGTTTAAGACAATAATGAACAATGTAATTACTTAAAGGAAACAGTAATAGAATTCAGGGGTGTATATATTTATAAATACATATATACACAGTCTAATATGTGTGTGTGTGAGAGCGCACACCACGCACACATACACACACCCACACACACACACACACACACACACACACGCACACACACACACTCATACATTAGACTGCATATTTAGGAATATTTTATATAATTATGTTATGTTTTGTCTTTTAGTGAATCAAATATTATCTATGAGGAAAGTAATCCAATAGATAAGGAAAAACAAGCAAGAATTATATCACATGAACTTGCACATCAATGGTTTGGCAATTTGGTCACTCCAGTTTGGTGGACTTACCTATGGTTAAGCGAGGGACTTGCTTCATTCTTCGAAGCATACACAATAAAATTAAAAAAGTATCAATTAAAAATACAATTAAATATTATATTTTTATATAATGTATCTCTATATGTATCTATATACATCTGAATAAGAAAGAGGGAGAGAGAGAGAGAGAGCGAGAGAGAGAGAGAGAGAGAGAGCGAGCGCGCGC